CTCACTTCTACCCAGACAAAAAAATCTCTATAGAATACAGACAGGAAGTGATGTCAGGTACAGGCAGGAAGTGATGTCAGGGACAGACAGGAAGTGATGTCAGATACAGACAGGATGCTCTGGGTGAGAGATGAATCAGTAGGAATCAGAGAGGAGAATCTCAATCTGGCGGCAGAGGAGGTAATACGTAGATGAACCCCTTCAGGGGGAGGAGTTGATGATAATATATTTGCTCCCAAAGCTGGCCTACATGGTTCAGTTTTATCGTTCAGCCAGCGGGATGACCATAAAAACTGAAGCGATTCCCCCATCCACACATTGGAGGTGGAGGGGGAATCCTCCCCGCTGCACTCTTGTATTCTGACAATGGGGGGACTCCTCCGCTCTCAGAATACACGGATCAGCACTGAAGCTATTGGCTGCAGCCGTTGGGGGAGTGGCTTTTATATCCGGCAGTGGCCACACATGGATGGAAATGTGAGCGATCCCTGCTGAACCAGCTGAATTTCCATGGATCTATGGTCACCTCAGTGACTTCCTCCCCTCCCCCTCATCTCCTTCATGATGGAAGTCATGCTGAGATCATCTCCCATTGGCTGAGCAATATTCTCATTTGTCTCTCAGCTCCTTCTTGCTATTCCTCGTCCTGCCTGTTGTTTCCTTGGATTGATTTTCTGTGTAGTGACCCCGGCTTGGTCTCTTGGATGCGCTCGTCTGTTGCTTGCCCTGACCTTTCTCCTGATTCCTGGATCTCCTCCTCATCTCTCCTCCATATCCTCTTACACAGCTTTTCTCCACACCTGCAGTGACCCTGGGGGGGAGGAAACTTGGCACCAGCACGCCGCCAAATCCATCCCCACCATTAGGGGCTCTGGAGACAATTGTCTGCTATTTACACTCCGTTCCTCCGCACGTCACCTGATCACATGATAGCTTACTTCCACAGATTTCCGGACAGATTTCTGGATGGTAAAGGTCAAAGTCACTCTTCAGTTTAGGAGAGGTAGGACGCACCCAGGAACAGGGATTTGGTTTGCAAGGAGCCTCATATAGAGGACCCCTCAAATCTCCCCATCCAAATGTCCCTCCATCCAGAGTCTATATGTCCTATGACATCACAATGACCTCACAGCTCCTCCTCCCAATGTCCCTCCATCCAGAGTCAGAGAATCCTATGACATCACACTGACCTCACAGCTCCTCCTCCCAATGTCCCTCCATCCAGAGTCAGAGGATCCTATGACATCACACTGACCTCACAGCTCCTCCTCCCAATGTCCCTCCATCCAGAGTCAGAGAATCCTATGACATCACACACTGACCTCACAGCTCCTCCTCCCAATGTCCCTCCATCCAGAGTCAGAGGATCCTATGACATCACACTGACCTCACAGCTCCTCCTCCCAATGTCACTCCATCCATAGTCAGAGAATCCTATGACATCACACTGACCTCACAGCTCCTCCTAATGTCCATCCAGAGTCTATATGTCCTATGACATCACACTGACCTCACAGCTCCTCCTCCCAATGTCCCTCCATCCAGAGTCAGAGAATCCTATGACATCACACGAATAGCTCTTAGGATGTGGGGTACCCTTGGCATACTCAGTAGCAAAGTTGGACTGTTTGTCCTTTATTGTATGTAATGATGCCACAATAGCTTATGACAAATTTTTACCTGCGTAGTGTGGGGGTCCTGTGGGGGGGAATTATACCTCAGCCTGAAGTGGGGCTTTAATAAAATGGAGACCTGAATGGAGAGGTGAGGAGGATTCTGGGAATATCATTTGATGTGACTCTTTGTGTTCAGATGTAGAGTTTTCCTCCTGTGAAGTCTGGAGATCATATGACATCACATTGCCTCCACCTCCCTCCCTGATAGAAGAGAGAAAGAAGAAGAAGATTCTAGAAGTCACCAGAGAGATCACTGAGCTGCTGACAGGAGAGGTGACGGTGCCGGGAATTCTGGGACATTCTCCAGTAACAGACAAGGGATGTGTCTGGATGGTGACTGTATCATTGTGTGTGTCAGGTTCCTATAAGGTGTCAGGGTGTCACTGTCTATTTCTCCATGGAGGAGTGGGAGTATTTAGAAGGACACAAGGATCTCTACAAGGACGTCATGATGGACAATCAGCCGCCCCTCACATCACCGGGTAAGAGGAGACTTTATTGTAAAGGAGAGAGCAGTACGGAGGATCCACCTAGATCCCCCATCATCTGACAAACACATAGAAACAATGGATTCAGTCAGTGTGTGTGTTTCCTACAGATGGATCCAGTCATGGGAACCCACCAGAGAGATGTCCCCGTCCTCTGTATTCCCGGGATTCCACACAGGAAGGTCACACCATCCCTCACCATCATCAGGTAGATGATGACAATTATTGGTAGTTGTGATTTATACACAGCATGTTTGTTACAATGAATGTTTTATTATATCTTTCAGAGTGGAATCCTCGGGGATGATAATATTGATGTTAAAGAAGAGTATAAAGAGGAGGAGGATGAGGAGTATGGAGTGATGGAGGAGTTTTCAGAAGGACACAAGGATATGATGGAGCCACCTAATACCAGGAACCCCCAGAAGAGATGTCCCCGTCCTCTGTATTCCCGGGATTCCACACAGGAAGGTCACACCATCCTCATCATTGCAAGGTTGGTGGGATGGAGCATCTAGAACATGGACTTGTAGAGAGACAATGTGTGGGATATTTTATGTGATCTTACATTTTACAGATGATATTTTCTCTCATCATTTCCTTGATTTAGAGTGGAGATCCAATCGATATAGAATTTGAGGTGAAAGCAGAAGAAGAAGAGGCGTATGTGAGGGATGATCAGCAGTCTATGGAGGAGGATGGAATAACGGGGACATTTATAGAGGAGGACACTCCTACAGAGATCAGCACAGGTGGGTCATGAACACTAAATCCATTCCTCCACCCATACTGCTCACTGATTGGTCCAGAGTAGGGCGGGGGACTGGGTGATATCAGCCTGTAATCCCCTGGTCACTTTCCTGAGCTGTGTTCCCCGTCCTGTATTCCTGGATTTCTCTCGGATAATCTTTACTTCTCTGTGCTGCAGACACAATTTATGTCTCTAGACTGGATTTATGGAGGTTCTGGGGTTCAGCTGGTAGCAAAATGTGGATTTTCACCATAGATATTACTAGACCTAGGTGCCTGGGGTATGAGTCTTGTATCTTTTTCCCCATATCCGGGTCTAGTAAGATCTCTGAGGACAGTACATTTCTCCCAGGGTTCCTTGCTCTGTGGTCTGCTGGCTGTGCCGGGTGGAGGGATATGTCTGTAGTGTATAGAGGGGACCCAAGTCACTGAGTGCAGTCTCAGGAGATGGGAGGCAGCGGTGTGGGATCTCTGCAACTTGTCTACAGTAAACATTTAATCTTCCACTGATTGCTGAATACCTGGTCCATTATGAGTCCTGACCCCCTGCACTATATACTCTGTTGTAATTACATACTCCTGACCCCTGCACTATATACTCTATGTTGTACATTACATACTCCTGACCCCTGCACTATATACTCTCTGTTGTACATTACATACTCCTGACCCCTGCACTATATACTTCATGTTGTACATTACATCCTCCTGACCCCTGCACTATATACTTGCATTGTACATTACATACTCCTGACCCCTGCACTATATACTCTATGTTGTACATTACATACTCCTGACCCCTGCACTATACACTCTATGTTGTACATTACATACATTCTCCTGACCCCTGCACTATATACTCTATGTTGTACATTCCATACTCCTGACCCCTGCACTATATACTCTATGTTGTACATTACATACTCCTGCCCCCCTGACCCACTATATACTCTCTGCTGTACATTACATACTCCTGACCCCTGCACTATATACTCTATGTTGTACATTACATACTCCTGACCCCTGCACTATACACTCTATTGTACATTACATACTCCTGACCCCTGCACTATATACTCTATGTTGTACATTACATACTCCTGACCCCTGCACTATATACTCTATGTTGTACATTACATACTCCTGACCCCTGCACTATATACTCTATGTTGTACATTACATACTCCTGACCCCTGCACTATATACTCTATGTTGTACATTACATAGCCCTGACTTCTGCTCTCCCCCCTCCCCCCACTGCTATATATATAAACATAATATGTACTCTCATTGTTACACCCATTTCCTCCCAGCTGGACATTTTGTATCCAGTGTTTTGATTGGATCACAGACTTTTACATGGTGATAATAATGTGATAACATCCTCCAACTTTGGACCCTTAAACAGAAAGTGATAATGAGGGAGGAGTCAATACCCCAATGATGGTGGTCTTCAGGATCAGTCCAGTCTTCATCTTGGTTGTTCTCCCCCCATCCTCACTCTCTGACCTCTGGTGGGGCTCAGCCCCGCTGTTCTTCATGACTAAATCATGGACTAAATAAGGAAGTGCAGTACTTCTTGTGTTGGGAAGATGGCGATGAGTGATAGAGGGGGTGGGGGACCCTCGTCCTATAATCCCCTCATCACTGTCCCTCCTATAAAAGACAGTTCTGGTTGTTTCCTCACTCTCTGACTAAGGTCCATGAATAAAGAAATGACCTGGTAGGAGATCAGAGGAGCCATTTCCTAGTTCCCTTGAGGGTGGAATTGTAAGCTCCTCAGAGACCAAGCTGCCTGATGTGTGGGCGGAGTCCTGGTTTGGGGAACCAATCAGCTCCTGTCTAGTAATCCTCTTTGTCTTTGTATTTTAGTCCATGGCCGGGAGATGAGGAAAACCTCCGAGGATTGTCTCACTTTGTCTCCAGACTGGAAAGTAGAAGATGAGGACATCACACAGTATAGTCCAGGAGAAAACCCGGCTCCCCTCCAATGTCCATCCGGCACCACCCAGTGTAGATGGACCATCGGATTCCTCGTATCCTGAGGAACCTCAGACTGTGCGGGACCGGGCCGGCCTTCCAACAGGGAAGAGCTTCTCCTGTACTGAGTGTGGGAAGTGGTTCTATTATAAATACCATCTTAATGTGCATAAAAGATCTCACACGGGGGAGAAGCCGTATCCCTGTCCTGAGTGCGGGAAAATGTTTCCGTTACAAATGTGGTCTTAATATTCATAAAAGATCTCACACAGGTGGGAAGCCTTTTTTCCTGTCCTGAGTGCGGGAAATGTTTCAGCTTGAAATATTGCCTTATTGTCCATATAAGATCTCACACAGGAGAGAAGCCATATTCCTGTCTTGAGTGCGGGAAATGTTTCTGTTCTAAGTATGGTCTTAATGTCCACATACGATCTCACACAGGAGAAAAGCCATATTCCTGTTCTGAGTGTGAAAAATGTTTTATACTTAAATCAGATCTTGTCACACATCAAAGGCTTCACACGGGGGAAAAACCATACTCATGTTCTGAGTGCGGGAAATGTTTTTCAAACAAGTCCTTTTATCACAGACATCAGAGGTTTCACACTGGTGAAAAGCCATATTCCTGTCCTGAGTGCGGGAAAAGTTTTTCACAAAAGTCTGATCTTTACAGACATCAGAGATCTCACACTGGGGAGAAGCCACTTTCTTGTCCTGAGTGTGGGAAATGTTTTTCAGAGAAGTCAAGTCTTTACAAGCATCAGAGATCTCACACGGGGGAGAAGCCATTTTCTTGTTCTGAGTGCGGGAAATGTTTTTCATGTAAGTCCAGTCTTTACAGACATCAGAGATCTCACACGGGAGAGAAACCACTTTCCTGTCCTGAGTGCGGGAAATGTTTTTCACGTAAGTCCAGTCTTTACATGCATCAACGATCTCACACGGGCGAGAAGCCATATTCCTGTTCTGAGTGCGGGAAATGTTTTTCATGTAAGTCCAGTTTTTACAGACATCAGAGATTGCACACTGGGAAGAAGCCACTTTCCTCTCCTGAGTGAGGGAAATGTTCCTCACTGAAGTCCTGTCTTCCTGTACATCAGGGGTCCCACACAACCCTGGAGGTGTATTAGTGCCTTGAGTGTGGGAAATGTCTTCTAGATGAATGTTGCTGGACATCCCAGCTCTCATGTGGGGAAGAAGCACACCCTGATATACACCTCAGATATACTCCATGGCTGATCTTCATCATGGAAGAAACAGTTCATAGGGGAGATCAGAGGTCCCCAAAGACATGGATGAAGTGTGGGACCGGGTTGGCCATTGATAGCAGAAGAATAAAAATGGAGTCATCACCTTTCATTTCTGAGCAGAAGAAGATAAAAATGGCCTTTTGTGGTGGGAGATTTCACAAACACTTGGAGGTCTGTGTAAAAGAAAACAATTTGAATGTGTGTGACCCAGCTGGGATGAATATTGGGTGTATTTTATCTCACACTGATTTCCTTGGCTCCATGGCTCCATCTAGTGGCCATAATGCAGTATTGAGATATTTTTACTCATTGAGTTATTTTCAGGACACATACCCCATTTTGGTCTCTAGATGGAGCTGATGATCATAGGAAATCACTGTGTTACATTAAATTACGGCCAGAGTTTGTCATGGCTGGATGGATTCTTGTGACATTTTCTATAAGGGGACCCCTTAGTTTCTCTCTTCAGGCACGGTCTCATAATAATACCTGACAGCCAACAAAGTGCTGAACGTAACAACAACATCTGTATATTCAACCAAGATATAAAGGAAGAGGTGACAAAGGAGGTTCAGATCCATTCACACCACAAACCAATGCAGTCACCATTCAGTCCAAGGGAGATCAGGTGACCTGCATTGGAGGAGGGTGAAGGTGGAGATGGCAAACCGTATTCCGGATGGTCCCATGTGTCTCATACTTTATTGAACAGGTCCAGCTGGTCAGCTTGGGTTGGTGTAAGGTGCTCCATGCCTGGAACCAATGTTATAGTATCTGGTAGCTGAGTGTGAGGGGGGAGGTTAGAAAGCCAACACTTAGAGATAACTCATCTGACACCAATAAAAAATATGGTGGGCTAATTCCTTGGACTGTTTATAGATTCCTGAAAATGGTAAACCCAATAGAGAATGAATGGGGTCATTAGGAAGAGGCACATCAAGAACTCTCTCATGCATGGAGATTTTAGGGCTGGAGGGTAGGACATTGCCATAGTATATGGAATAATGAGCCCTCGCCTTGATGGCACCTCCCCCATGTGTCAGATGGAGTAAGGTTCCAGGCATGGAGAACATCAGGTGTTCTATACCAAACCTCATCACTTTGTAGGTAGTTACCTTGATTTAAAGGAAGAGTAATCATCTGTTATATAAACACCCAAATATCTGAGAGTCCGAGTACACCAATGGTATGGATAAGTGGACTGTAGGGAAGGGAAGGCCTTACTGGGGATATGGAAGGGAAGTGCTTCCATCTTGGACATATTTATTTTGTAACCCAACAGTTTGGTAAAGGCAGATAATGTTTGGTGGAGCACTGGAAGGGAAATATGAGGTTCAGTCAAGATCAAAAGTCATCTACAAATCGTGATAATTGATATTCCCTGTGACATAGGGGCACCCCGTGAATGTCCACACTCAAATGTGTAGCAGCTGCTGGGGGTTCTAGGCTCAGAACATATAATAGGGGGTGAGAGCGGACACCCCCGTCTGGTGCCATTGTTCATAGGAAAAGAAGAGGAATAGGTGAATGAGAGCTTGACCTGGGATATGGGGTGACAGTATAAGGCCCAGATGGCATTTAAAAAAGTGCCTATGAAGCCAACACGCAAGTCAAGGATACTACCATGTAGGGCCAACCTAACCTATCCAACTCCTCTTGGGCACCTGAGCTCAATAGCAGTGCAGGCGTCTGTTTTGTTGAGATTGTCAACCAGGTTTATCGCCCGTTGGGTGTTGTTCCCTGCTTGTGTAGTTGGGATAATCCCAACCTGGTCTCTGTGGATAAGTCATGGAAGGAGCCGGGAAAGACTGTTGACTAGAATCTTTGTGAAAATCTTATAATTGGAAAATAATCCATGTTATCGGACGGTAATTATCTGGGGGGAGGTGAGCTTTTACCGGGCTTTGGAATGACTGTGATATAAGAATGCATAAAGTCTGAATGGGGAATCCCCCCTTGAGTAAAGAGTGATAAAGGTCTAGTGGGGGGGCCAATATTGGAGAGAATTTCCTGTAATATTGATAGGAGTCCATCCGGACCTGGAGATTTATGAAGGGGGAGTTTGCTAATAACCTCCATGAGTTCCTCAATAGTTATTAGAGATGAGCGAATTATTCAAAAATTCGATTCGGCTGATTCGCCGAATTTGCGGAATAAATTCGATTCGATGCGAATTTATTCGCTGCGAATTTAACTTATTTAAAAGGGTTTCTAGGCTTCAGAGAGCCTTTTATATTAGTGCAGAACACTGTACCTTTAATTTAAATGCCCTTGGAGTCTGCTGGGGAAGAGAAATAATACTGTCAGTCAGTATGACATGCAGATGAGTGCCGTCGATCTTAGAATCACCGCACACTTCACTCATTTGGGCAGTCACGGGGCACGACGAAGAAGATGAAGAAGAAGATGATGATGAAGAAGAAGAAGATGATGAAGAAGATGATGATGAAGAAGATGATGAAGAAGAAGATGATGAAGAAGAAGAAGATGAGAAGAAGAAGAAGATGAAGAAGAAGAAGATGATGAAGAAGAAGATGATGAAGAAGAAGATGAAGAAGAGGAAGAAGAGAGGATGAGGAAGAAGAGGATGAGGATGAAGAAGAAGAAGATGAGGATGAAGAAGAAGATGATGAAGAAGAGGATGAAGAAGAGGATGAGGAAGAAGAAGAGGATGAAGAAGAAGAGGATGAGAAGATGAAGAAGAAGAAGAGGATGAAGAAGAGGATGAGGATGAAGAAGGATGAAAATAAGAAGAATTCCAGTACAGCAAAAAGTGTATCTGCAGAGAGCTCCGCTATTTCTGACAGTTCTCTGACAGTTCCTTCACATTTACAGCGGTTGAAACATTGTATCTATTTGTTTCCGAATAAAAACATCTGTATCCTAAATGGAAACAAATAGATACAATGTTTCAACCGCTGTAAATGTGAAGGAACTGTCAGAGAACTGTCAGAAATAGTGGAGCTCTCTGCAGGGACACTTTTTGCCGGCTGCTGTAGAAGGGATGAAAATCGGCCGATCGGGAAAAATTTGATTCGTGCATCCGAAGTTTGCTAAGATTCGGTGCGAATCGAATTTTTCCTAATATTCGAAACGAATTCCACTTCGCCAAGTTCGATTCGCTCATCTCTAATAGTTATGTCAGAGATAAAAGTTTCAGATCAGAGGAGTTCAGTTTGGGTGTCTGTAGAGGCAGTAAATCCATCAGATGTTTCTGGACTATAAGGTGGGTGCTCGCCCGCTGTAAGGCCGTCATACAAGTTATGATGAAACTCGGCACAGGTCCCAGCCGTAGTATAGGGGCAGTAAATGGGGGAAGCGTCTTGTTGGAGTGATCAGTGGGGGATGGATTGTGGTGGCCTAACTCTGACTTTGTTCTCCATCATCCTGTGTGACTTATTGGATCCGTTATACAATTCCTGGTGAGTCCAGAGATTTAGGTCCCGTATGTCTATCTAGTTCTCTGATTTGGTGGGATGACGATAAAGCTGCTCCTCTCTAGTTGGTGTAAAAGAAAAGGAGTCTGGACCGATTCTTATCACGTTTCAGGCGGGTGAATGTGGAAATGCATTGACCTCAGAAGAAAGCTTTATGTGCCTCCCACAGGGTAGACGCCTTGTACACTGAGCCAGTATTAAGCTGAACAAATTCGGTCAGAGCGGAGGGAAGTGTATCCTGGATTTCTGGGACCTGAAGGAGGGACTCATTTATACTCCAGTGGTGGGATTTGGTTCCTGAGTCAGAGATCAGTATGTCCAGGATAACAGAAGCAGATCTGACCAGGTGATAAGGGGGCAGATAGGAGGAAGTAGTCCAAGCCAGAGTACATTTTATGTGGGGTAGAATAAAAAGGTGTATTCATTATGGGTGGGGTGCTTGAGGCAGGTGAAGTCTGCTTTATCCACTGTAGGTGGCAATTGTCCCAAGTAGCACCACAGCCTAGAGAGGGAGTCCAGGGGAAACACAGCTTCTCTATGGTTTCCTGGGGCAAATGAGCAGCCTTCTGGTTGGCTACACTGTGTCCATGTGACCCTTGGTGGCCATCTTGGGTAAGCAAGGTCTTTATAGGTCCCTGCTCCCAGGTTTTGGCACTCATTTTGCGAGTGGCTAGTGTAGGGAGAGAGACCCTGCTTGTTAGGGAAAGTAACTAGGGCTAGGGAGAGTTCCTAAAGTGGAGGGAGAAAGGCAACAGACTTGCTAACCTGGAAAGAAGCCTCCCCTCTTGGGACCAGACTGACCAGGCAATACATCACCCTCTGAAACAGACACTGTCGGCACCTTTCCTTAGCCACATCTTTGACTGGTTTGAACTGTGAGTTATATTTCACTAAAGCGTTGCTGTCCTATCAGGGTGTTTGTAACATTGGAATTCTGCTCAATACAAGTTCAAGTTTTATTGTAACAAGACTCTGTGTGTTCACTGCCCCCGCACTGCACCGCTCCACGTGCTTAACCCCTTTCCCTCCAGAGGATTTCCCCCCATTCCTGACCAGGCCATTTTTTGTGATACAGCACTGCATTACTTTAACTGACAATTGCGCAGTCATGCAACGCTGCACCAAAATGAAATTTATGTCCTTTTTTCCTCATAAATAGAGCTTTCTTTTGGTGGTATTTGATCACCAATGTGTTTTTTTTTTTTGCTCTATAAACAAAAAAATCTGAAATTTTATTTAAAAAACTATATTTTTTACTTTTTGCTATTAAATATGTCTAGTAAAACAGAATTTAAAAAATCTAATTTTGTTATAAATTTAGGCAAAAATGTATTCTGATTCGTGGCTTTGCTAAAAAAAAATCTCAATATGTGTAAATTAATTGGTTTATGGGAAAATTATATCAGTATATATATTGCAATTTTTTTTTTTACTAGTAATGGCGGTGATCAGCGACTTATAGCGGGACTGCGGCGGGCATTCTGACACTGGGGGGGAACTGACTTGGTGTCACTGACATCCCCAGTGACACCAATACAGGGATCAGTGCTAATAAAAAGCACTGACACTATACTAATGACACTGGGCAGGAAGGGGTTACCATGAGCAATCAAAGGGTTAACTGTGCGTTTCACTGTGTGCATGCTGCTATGCAGTGCCATACAAAGCAGTGTGTAGGAGCTGAAGGGAGAGATGTGTGTTGTTTATACACAGGTCTCTCCCCCGTTGGAGATACTCGGTGATCACCGGATGCCAGCGAGTAATCACTGTATGGAACCCAGTGACTAAAAGCCGAGGAGTGAATGGCGGTGCAGATAGTAGGGCGTGCGTGCGCCCCCTACCCGGAACTACAACACCATGTATATATAGGTGATTTTTGCGCAGCCATGCCAACCTGTAGCAGTATTTCTTCTATAGGGGAAGGGAATCGGATAAATTGGTGTTTTATTGGGATGACACCATGGAGAGCGTCTTTTCCTTTGTCATTCTACTATGTCACACTGAGTCTATCTGCACAGCGATCTGATGGGACACAGCACCGCCATCGTCTGAGATGGGGGTTGGAGGAAAGCTGGAGATCTCGGATTGATAGAAGTGCTGGGTGACCCCTCAGAATTGGGGGTCATAGTATTCAGGGAAACCCCCCGGTGCTGTACCCCGAGGTGCTGTGTGCTGCTCCATCATGAAGAAATGTTGGTGACATCCACATCTGTCATTTCCCTCATCATCAGAAAACCACACAATTCAGCTTTTGGCTTCACATTTGCTTTATTTATTCAATTTGTGGTGAAACATAAGAGATTGATAGATTTCCATCGTACTATTGTATTGTGACCACTTCATCCATGTCTCTGGGGGCCTCTGATCTCCTTATGAACTGTTTCTTCCATGATGAAGATCAGCCATGGAGTATATCTGAGGTGTATATCAGGGTGTGCTTCTTCCCCACATGAGAGCTGGGATGTCCAGCAACATTCATCTAGAAGACATTTCCTACACTCAAAGCACTAATACACCTCCAGGGTTGTGTGGGACCCCTGATGTACAGGAAGACAGGACTTCAGTGAGGAACATTTCCCTCACTCAGGACAGGAAACTGGCTTCTCCCCCATGTGAGATCTTTGATGTGTGTAAAGATTGGACTTCTGTGAAAAACATTTCCTGCACTCAGGACAGGAATACGGCTTCTCCCCTGTGTGAGATTTCTGATGTCTGGAAAGACTGGAATTCACTGAAAAACATTTCCCGCACTCAGGACAGGAATAAGGCTTCTCCCCCGTGTGACATCTCTGATGTTTGTAAAGACTGGACTTGTCTGAAAAACATTTCCCACACTCAGGACATGAATATGGCTTCTCTCCAGTATGAGATCTCTGATGTATGTCAAGACAAGACTTCTCTAAAAAACATTTCCCACACTCAGGACAGGAATATGGCTTTTCCCCTGTATGCAATCTCTGATGTGTGTAAAGATGGGCTTTTAGTGAAAAACTTTTCCCGCACTCAGGACAGGAATATTTTTTTTTTTTTTTTTTTTTTTTTTTTTTTTTTTTTTTTTTTTTTTTTTTTTTTTTTTTTTTTTTTTTTTTTTTTTCTTTTTTTTTTTTTTTTTTTTTTTTTTATTTCTTCTCCCCTGTGTGAGATCTCTGATGTTTGTAAAGATTAGACTTCTGTAAAAAGCATTTCCCACACTCAGAACAAGAATATGTCTTCTCCCCTGTGTGAGATCTCTGATGTCTGGAAAGACTGGACTTCACTGAAAAACATTTCCCGCACTCAGGACAGGAATAAGGCTTCTCCCCCGTGTGACATCTCTGATGTTTGTAAAGACTGGACTTGTCTGAAAAACATTTCCCACACTCGGGACATGAATATGGCTTCTCTCCTGTATGAGATCTATGATGTATGTCAAGACTAGACTTCTGTGAAAAACATTTCCTGCACTCAGAACAGGAATACGGCTTCACACCCGTGTGAGATTTCTTATGTGTGTAAAGACTGGAATTCTGTGAAAAACATTTCCCGCACTCAGGACAGGAATACGGCTTCTCCCCTGTGTGAGATCTTTTATGCACATTAAGATAGTATTTAGAACAGAAACCCTTCCCGCATTCACTACAGGAGAAGCTCTTCCCTGTTGGAAGGCCGGCCCGGTCCCGCACAGTCTGAGGTTCCTCAGGATACGAGGAATCCGATGGTCCATCTACACTGGGTGGTGCCGGATGGACATTGGAGGGAGCCGGGTTTTCTCCTGGACTATACTGTGTGATGTCCTCATCTTCTACTTTCCAGTCTGGAGACAAAGTGAGACAATCCTCGGAGGTTTTCCCCTCATCTCTCGGCCATGGACTAAAATACAAAGACAAAGAGGATTACTAGACAGGAGCTGATTGGCTCCCCCAAACAAGGACTCCGCCCACATCAGGCAGCTTGGTCTCTGAGGAGCTTACAATTCCACCCTCAAGGGAACTAGGAAATGGCTCCTCTGATCTCCTACCAGGTCATTTCTTTATTCATGGACCTTAGTCAGAGAGTGAGGAAACAACCAGAACTGTCTTTTATAGGAGGGACAGTGATGGGGGGATTATAGGACGAGGGTCCCCACCCCCTCTATCACTCATCGCCATCTTCCCAACACAAGAAGTACTGCACTTCCTTATTTAGTCCATGATTTAGTCATGAAGAACAGCGGGGCTGAGCCCCACCAGAGGTCAGAGAGTGAGGATGGGGGGAGAACAACCAAGATGAAGACTGGACTGATCCTGAAGACCGCCATTATTGGGGTATTGACTCCTCCCTCATTATCACTTTCTGTTTAAGGGTCCAAAGTTGGAGGATGTTATCACATTATTATCACCATGTAAAAGTCTGTGCTCCAATCACATCATCCGATATAAAATGTCCAGCTGGGAGGAAATGGGAGCAAAAGAAGTAAGGACTATTTAATGTACAATTTATTATATCAGAAACAAAAGTTAGGACTATACAGTCAGATAATGTAATGTACAGCACAGAGTATACAGTGGAGACAAGAATGATTTGACTTCCTGCAGATTGTGTACGTTTTCCCACTTACACAGAAATGAAGGGTCTGTCATTTTTATCATAGGTGTATTTTTAATGATAGAGACAGAAAAAATCCAGAAAAAAACACAATCCAAATGTTATAAATGGAGTTGCAGTTCAGTGAGTAAAATAAGTATTTGATCCCCCACCAACCAACAATGATTCTGGCTCCCACAGACTGGCTAGGTGCTCATGTGGTTACAGATCAGTCCTGTCAATATAAGAAGGTGCTGCTAATGACAACTCATTATGTGTATAAAAAGACACCTTCCACTGAATCTCTTTCTTGGGCACCACCATGGGCAAGACCAAAGAGCTGTCAAAGGATGTCAGGGACATGATTGTTAGACCTGCACAAGGCTGGAATGGACTACAAGACCACCAGCAAGAAGCTTGGTGGAGAGGAGACAAATGTTGGAGCGATTATTCACAAATGGAAGAAATACAAAGTAACCACCAATCGCCCTCCTTGGTCTGGAGCTCCATGCAGAATGTCACCTCATGGGGTAAAGATGATCATAAGAAAAGTGAGGGATCAGCCCAGAACTACATGGGAGGAGCTTGTGAATGATGTCAAGGCAGTTGGTACCAACAGTCACCAAACCATTGGTAATACAATCCGCTGCCTTGGACTGAAATCCTGCAGTGCCCCGCAAGGTCCCACTCCTCAAGAAGGCACATGTACAGGACTGTCTGAAAAAGTCTGACAATGAACATCTAAATGATTCAGAGAAGGATTGGGAGAGAGTGCTGTGTCAGAGGAGATCAGAATAGATCTCTTCGGCATTAAAACCAAACTTGACTCATCGTGTTGGAAGGAAGTAAAATGCTGACTATGACCCTAAGAACAACCATCCCTAACAGTCAAACATGGAGGTGGACACATTATGCTTTGGGGCTGTTTCTCTACTAAAGGTTCAGGCCAACATTGCTGCATTGAGGGGCCAATAGACGGGGCCATGTATTGTGAAAATCTTGGATTAGAACCTTCTTCCCTCAGACAGAACACTAAAGATGGGCCGTGGATGTGTCTTCCAGCATGAACAATGACCCAAAACGTACCGCCAAGACAACAAAAGGAGTGGCATCAAGAAATAGCACGTTATGGTCATGGAGTGGCCTAGCCAGTCTCCAGACCTTCATCATATAGAACATTTATGGAGGGAGCTGAAACTTTGAGTTGCCAAGCAACAGCCAAGAAACCTTCAGGATTTAGAGAAGATCTGTAAAGAAGAGTGAAACAAAATTCCCTCCTGAATGTCTGCAAACCTGGGAACCAACTACAAGAAACGTCTGACCTCTGTCCTCTCGCCAACAAGGTTCCTTCCTCCACCAAGTACTAAGTCATGTTTTACTTGGGGATCAAATACTTATTTTACACACTCCATTTATAACATTTGTATTGTGTTTTTTTCTGGATTTTTGGTTGAATTATTCTGTCTCTATCATTTAAAATACACCTATGACAAAACATATACCCTTCATTTCTTTGTAAGTGGGGGCAAAATTTAACAAAATATGCAGGGGATAAAAATAATTATTTTCCCCACTGTGCAGGGGTCAGAGTATGTAATGGTACAACATAGAGTATATAGTGCAGGGGCAGGGTCATTGAGTATGTAATGTACAACATAGAGTATATAGTGCAGGGGGACCAGGAGGGTCAGTCAGAGAGTATGTATATAGTGCAGGGGGTCTAGAGTATGTAAACAACATAGAGTATATAGTAGGGCAGGGGGGTCCAGGAGTATGTAATGTACAACATAGAGTATATAGTGCATGGGTCAGGGTATAGTACATTAACAGATTATTAATATTTACATGTACATAGAGTATATAGTGCAGGGGTCAGGAGATGTAATGTACATACATAGAGTATATATATCAGCAGGGTCAGGGAGTGATGTAATGTACAACATAGATTATAAAGTGCAGGGGTCAGGCAGTAATGTAATGTACAACCATTAGAGTTATAGTGCAGGCAGGGTCAGGAGTATGTAATGTTTTAAAAATTAAAATTTGTGCAGGGGGGGGAAAGGGGTAAAGTAAAAGAAAACAAATATAGAAGTGCGGGGTTTAGGAGTAAAGTAATGACAACATAGAATTTTATAGTGGGAGGGGTTTAAAAAGTAGGGAATGTACA